TATCTATCTATCTATCTATCTATCTATCTATCTATCTATCTATCTATCTATCTATCTATCTATCTATCTATCTATCTATCTATCTATCTTTTCTATATCCATGTTGAATATAATTGTAATATGAAGTAAACAAGGCTCAGAAGTCTAACTATTTTAAAACGTATTATTTGAAAATGTACTTGTTTTGTTTGTTAAAATTTGATGGAACATATAAAGTTCTAGTCACATTAACTTGAATTGACCTTTTTTTGTAACTGAGCAGAACAAACAGAGATAATTCATAGTCATTAATGAAACCATGTTTATATGAAGACGTTGCTCAACACATTTGTGCAGCAAACTATCCAAGTGATACTGCTAATCTTCCATATGACTGAATAATTTGTATCGTAGGATTTTACCTATTTTGTCACCAAATCTCAGGGACTTTCTGTGAAATTATTTTCAGGTGGGGTGTTATTTGTAAATTGGTATCAAAGTGCTTTTCATAAAACACAAATTTTAGAGCTGGCTGTGGAAAAACCTTGAGAATAAATAAAAAATGATGAAGAAAAACAGTAATATATATATAAATATATATATATAATTTTTTTTAAAGAATCAATGTAGACAATTCAAAAGATATTTTTCAGAGACATGATAAAAGAAATGTTTTTAACCTGAATTTGAAAATGTCTACATTTTTATTTATTTTAATGTCCATTGGCAGTTTGTTGAGCATAATTGCTATATGCTGCTTTTCCAGATGCGAGTGAATTATTGATCAATGTCGATCACTTTCCACTGAGATAAAAACTGTTTTTAAAAAGCTGGATGATATTATGTCGGGAATGATAGTTGTGGATTTCAAAGCCCCAACACTTTCTTCTTCTTTTAAAATCACTGATATTAAACTGCGACATAACATTAGAGCTATCATTTAGGTTTTTAGACACACATTAAGTTTCTTGCTTGTCTGTGTGGCACAAATGTTTTGTCTAATGTCTAAGATTTTTTTCATGAAAATTTGGTTGCTTTCCTCAGTGGAGAGAAGGTCTTTGATTAACTGATTAACATGATTTGTGAGTCTTTCAATCACAACAAACAGAGTGTAAACTGTGCCAGAGATGGGGCACCTTGGAGGCCTTAGGCGCCACGACCAAGTTTTAAAATCCTTGGTGGATTCAATCAACACAGCGGTACAGGACAGTGAAAGAATACATTTTTAGATCCTGTTAAAGTTCATGTTTACCCTGTGTTTTTAGCTGCACGCCAACAAACAACATTCACAACACTTTGTTACTACACTATACGATCACGTGAACAGGAAGCTGGCATGTTCATGTTAGAGTTAAATGGCCAATTACAATTCGGTGTTGCGAAGACCAGTTTTGCATTGTAAGGGGCGGAGCTTAGCCCAAGAAGATAAATGTACCTGAGTGACGTGTATTCGGTGCTCTTTGGTGGAATCGCGTCGTTGAGACAACATTCCCCAGAGAGTCCAGCGCTGTGATATCCTACTTGTGGCCGGAATAAATTCCATTCATTGCTAAAGATCTCTTCAGTTCATTTTCCAAGTTTCCATAAGGACCGGGAGGAATTAAGGATAAAACCTTAACAACAGCAAGACCCAGGTTGCTCCGACACAGTCAATCACCTTTGTTAGAGCGGGGAAAAAAGGCAAACCACCAGCCCAATTCCTCAGGAGGGCTCCTCGCTACCGCTCGTGACTGGCAGCTCCAAGCTGATCTAGGACAGCCACTCAAGTTCCCAGGTCATGTAGCTACAACTTCACTCCGCCCAGATGTGGTGTTAACATCGGAGAACACCGAGCAAGTGGTCCTGTTGGAACTGACTGTCCCATGGAAGGACCGGATTGGGGAGGCTAACGAGCACAAGAGAGCCAAATACGCTGAGCTCACCATAGAGTGCCGGAGCAATGGCTGGAAAGCCCGCTGCGAACCCACCGAAATCGGGTGCAGAGGCTTTGCAGGACATTCACTCCGGAGAGTGTTCAAACTCCTTGGGGGGGATCCCTGGTGGTGCGCTACTTGGACACAAGCCGGGGAGGGATCACCCCTGGCAGGGTCGCCCGGGTGAGGCTGTCTGATTATTAAAGACCCAAAACCCCCCCCGTGACCCCGGGTTAGTCACTGATGATGACGTGTCCAAGTATCACCTTAAGGTGTATTATAGTTCTCAGATAAATACAATGGAGACCTCATGATACACATGGCATCTCTATCCGGTGTTTATCTTTAAATCACATTTCAATACAATGTTTTAAGTTACATGTTTTCATTACACAGGTGCAACCCATCTTTTGCCTGTTGTATACTGGGATAAGCTTTGGTTCCCCCCACACCCCACAATCCCATTGGGAGTAAGCGGTACCAAAAATGGATTGATGTTTTCATTACTATTAGTAATACACCCATTAAATATTAAAGGGGAAAAATTATCCAAAACCATGTTTTTAATAATTTGATTATGTACATTTGGGACTGTGGAGGGCCTTATCAGCAGGCAAAGTGTGAAAAAAAAATGACTCAGTCATATTTTTGTGGGCTGCCTCAGTCTCAATACAGGAAATAAATCAGGCGGTTTCAGAAATCGGTAGTTTATGACGCCATTAGCTCTAGCTCATTATAATATTCCAGCCTTTCACCTGCATGTTGCCCCCCCACCTCAGCTTATTCCGCCTATCTGTGGCAGACGTCGTGGTAGCGTGAGTCTGAGCGTTAGCGTACTGACGTCGGCACACCTCCCGGAAGAAGTGGGTGGATTGCCTGTGTCTCATTTGCATTAAAGAGACAGGCACTCAATACCGAGCACTGTGTACGGGGCTTATTTGGCAGAGAGATTGAACTACTATTGTGCTTCATCCTTATGGTATTTTGACCAAAGCTTGTCACAGACATTACATTAGGACACCAGGGAACTAGTTTAACTTGTTGAAATAGGGTATAATATGTCTCCTTTAATAAAAACACCAATGAAATAAACCAAGACTGCCATAAACCTATTTTTTCACTACAATATATTTATATGTGTGAGCGTGTGTGTGCATGTATATATATATATATATATATAAGGAGAGAAAGAGAGTGGACGCGAAATAGATACATGTATAAGGCCGGATAGTTCAGTGCTTTCCGGTATCATATATGTGTCTCTCTAAGTATTTGTGTATCTGAAGACAATTTTCTAAAAAGTAAAACAGTCCTTTATTTTGAAAAGGTGCAAAAGACGTACCGGATGTTCACGTCATGCTCTCTATATGATGATTGGCTGTTTATGCCTGGTTCTTCCGAAGTTAGCATACCGATAAAGAATCGTTTAAGTGTTCTCATTGAAACACAAGATTTTGGTGTAATTATAACAACATGCCTTATTACCAGACGTGGGAGGAGTTTGCACGAGCTGCCGAAAAGCTGTATCTATCGGATCCTTTGAAGGTGAAAAGCCTTTAAAAAAAGCAAACGGCTAAAATGAACATGTTAGCTATTGACCACATTAGCCGGATAGCTATTCTGCGATTTATGTCGTGCTTTTGTTTATCTAACATTGCTTTACCTTCATGGAG